CCCCCTCCGCCAGCGCGTCCAGCCGCGCCTGCGCCTCGGCCAGCGCGCGCGCGTCGCCGCCGGCGGCGGCCGCCATCACCGCGTGGACAGCGGCCAGGGGCGCGCGCGTCACGGCCGCAACCGCGCCCCAGCCCTCGAGCAGCGGCGCCCAGCGCCCGCCGGTCTCGGCGCCGACCAGCTCCAGGCGCCAGAGCAACCCGCCGGCGTCGATCAAGCGGGCCGGCCCGGCGCAGCCCGGCGCCAGCGCCTCGTCGTAGCGCGCCAGCGCCGCGGTGACGGCACCGCGGTCCACCTGCAGCAAGGCCAGATACCCCTGAATCTGCGGCGCCAGACGCTCGGCAGGGCGCCAGACCGTTTCCTGCAGCGCCAGCCACTCCTGCGCCTCGGCCAGCCGCCCGCCCTGCTCCAGCGCGGCGGCCACGGCCAGCACCGCCAGCGGCGTGTCCGGCTCGCGCGCCAGGGCCTGGACGCCGGCTTCCTCCGCCTCGGCCAGCGCACCGGTCTCAGCCAGGCCCCAGGCGTGGGCGGCGAGAAGCTGGCCGTAGCCGGGGGTCGCCGCGTCCCAGGCATCGAACAGGCGTGCCGGCGCGTCGCGCAGACTCTCCGCCTCGCCGAGCCCCTGGTAGAGCCGCTGGGCCATGGCTAGCGCGAGCAGGTCCTGCGGCGCCTCCAGCAGCCAGGCCTCCAGCGCCGCCACGGCCGCGTCCGGCCGGCCTGCCGCCCAGGCGCGCGCCGCCGTCAGGTGGGCCCGGCCGCGCGGCCCCGAACGCCCCTCACCGGCCCGGGCCAGGGCCTCACGCAGGCGCTCGGGCTGGTCCGGCGGCGGTTGGCACAGCAGGTCGTAGGCGCCGACCACCTGAGCCAGCGCCGCGCGCCGGTCGGCCGCAACCGCCCGGCCGACGGCCGCCGCGACGCCGTCGCGCCAGGCCAGCAGCTCCTCGATCGCGGTCTCCAGAGCCGCCGCCGCTTCGGGCGTGCGGCATTCCAGGGGCAGGCCGCGCTGATCCTTCACCGGGCGCCGTCCTCGCAGACTTGGGGCATCTCGGACGTCATGCGTCCTTGGATAAGACGCGCGTATGCGGGGCGGCGTGAGACTTCGCCCCCGCGCTCCCTTGCGCGCCGGTCGCCTCAGAGCGCCTGGTCGATAATCAGCATCAGGCAAAAGCCGAGCAGCAGACCGAAGGTGGCTCGGCTCTCGTAGCCCTTGCGGTGGGTCTCGGGGATCATCTCGCCGCCGATGACGAAGAGCATGGCGCCGGCGGAAAAGGCCAGCGCCCAGGGCAGCAGCGGCTGCACGAAGGCGACCGCGCCGGCGCCGAACAGGCCGCCGACCGGCTCCACCAGCCCGGTCAGCAGCGCCACCAGGAAGGCCAGGCGCCGGCCGTTGCCGAGCGCCACCAGCGCCGCGGCGACGATGAAGCCCTCGGGCATGTTCTGGATCAGGATGCCGAGCGTCAGGGCGATGGACCGCGCCTGGTCCTCGCCGCCGAAGCCGGCGCCGACCGCCAGCCCCTCGGGGAAATTGTGGATGGTGATGGCCAGCACGAAGAGCCAGAGCCGCTTAACCTCAAGGAGGTCCTGGCCCTCGCGGCCCTTGATGAAGTGCTCGTGCGGCACGTAGTGGTGCACCAGCCAGAACAACCCGGCGCCCAACAATACCGCCGCGCTGGCGATCAGGCCGGCCCCGAACGCGCCGGCCGTCGGCTCGGCCGCCTCCAGCGCGGGGATCAGCAGCGAAAAGGCCGAGGCGGCCAGCATGATGCCGGCCGCCAGGCTCATCAGCAGGGTCTCCAGCGCGAGGGTCATCCGCCGCACGGCGTAGATCGCCAGCGCCCCCAGGCCGGTGCCCAGCCCCGCCACCAGGGAGGCGGCGGAGCCGAGCAGAAAGGTGTCCAATCCGGCCATGCGGGTGCGACCTGGTCCTCGCGTCGAGCAGGGGGGACGGCCTTACTGCAGGTGGGCCCGCAGCATCCAGGCCGCCTTCTCGTGCACCGACATGCGCGCAACCATCATGTCGATGGTGACCTCGTCCTCGACGTTCTCGGCCGAGGTCACGACGCTGCGCGCCACCCGCGAGAGGGTCTCGTTGTCGGCGGCGAGCTGGCCGAGCATCTCCTCGGCGCTCGGCGGCGTCGCCGGCGCCTCCTCGACCGACTTCAGCTCGGCGAACTGGGCGTAGCTGCCCGGGGCGAAGTGGCCGAGGGCGCGAATGCGCTCGGCGATCTCGTCCGCCGCCTCGCGCAGCTCGACGTACTGCTCCTCGAACAGCTCGTGCAGCCCCTTGAAGCGCGGGCCGGTGACGTTCCAGTGGTAATTCTGGGTCTTGAGGTAGAGGGTGTAGGTGTCGGCCAGCACCCGCGACAGGCCCTCGGCCACCACCTTGCGGTCTTCGTCGCTCAAACCGGTGTTCAGGGTCATCGTTGCTCTCCTTGCTCTGCGGACATGGCCGGGCCGCGCCCCGCCTTACGTTCTGAGTGCAATATGGTTCCTCCGTCGCTCGATGCAACGTTTTTTGGAAAAATTCTAAAGTGAACCTCCGACGCAGAACGGGCGCCGTCCGGCCGCGGCCGCCGGCGGGTCAGGAAATGCGCAGCTCGAGGCGGCCGAGCGGGCCGAAGTCGGCCGCCGCCGCCTGGCCGGCCGCGACCTCGACGAAGGGCGTGACCACGCCGGTGGTGACCAGGCTGCCGGCCGTCAGCCGCAGCCCGTAGCCGGCCAGGAAGTTGGCCAGCCAGGCAAGCGCCCCCAGCGGGCCGCCGCCCTCGACGGCAGCGCCGCTGCCGGTGCCGATCTCGCGGCCGTCGACGGTCAGGCGGACCCGCCGCTCCAGCAGGTCGCCGAAGCCCGCCAGCGCCCGGCCCGGCCCCAGCACGAAGCCGCCGTGGGCGGCGTTGTCGGCGATCAGCGAGAGCCCGCCGACCCGGGTCCAGGCCGCCCCGAAGGCGCTGGAGACGATCTCGACGGCGGGATGCACGCTGGCCACGGCGGCGGCCACCTCCTCCGGCGCGCCGCCGGGCTCCAGGTCGCGGCCGAGCCGCAGGGCGAACTCCGGCTCGATCAGGCGGAAGAGGAAGTCGTCGGCGCGCAAGCTCAGCGGCTGCGTCGCCTGCGTGGTGGAGAGCTCGCGCGTCGTCTCGGCGAAGAGCACGCCGGCAAAGGGCGCGTCGACCCCCAGGAAGGCCTGCGCCCGGCGGCTGGTGGCGCCGAGCTTCCAGCCGATCGGCGTCTGCCCGCTGGCCGCGACGAAGGCGCGCTGCGCCGCCCAGGCGGCGTCCAGGTCGCCCGGGCGCAGCGCCTCCGGCAGGGCATCGAGCGGGGTGCGGTCGCGGCGCGCGGCCAGCAGCCGGCGCGCCGCCGCTTCGGCAGCATCGGACATCGTCGAAGACAACTCCTCCAGGCCCCGCCGGGTTCCCCCGAGGCGTCAGTCCGCCCCGAGAGGGCGAGGGCGCACAGGCCCCGCTACTGCGCCGCCTGGCGGTTCTGCACCACCCGCTCGGCGAGGCGCCCGGTCAGCTCGGAAAGGTGGTCGAAGCTGGCGGTGAAGCTGCCGATCCCCTGGGTCAGCGAGCGCAGCTCGATGATCAGGTCGCCCAGCTCGGCCGCCGGCAGGTAGGCCTGCACCTCGTCCCAGCCCTCCCAGCCGGGCCTGGCGTCGAAGCCGAGGATTTGGCCGCGGCGCGCGGAGAGCAGGCCGTGGATCTTGCTGGTGTAGGCGTTGGGCACGCTGACCCGGACCAGGTGGATCGGCTCCAGCAGGACCGGCTCGCAGTGCGGCAGCCCGTCCTGCATGGCCATGCGCCCGGCCGTCTTGAAGGCCATCTCGGAGGAGTCGACGGCGTGGAACTGCCCGTCGTTGAGGGTGACGGCGACGTCGACCACCGGAAAGCCCAGCGGGCCGCGCTGCAGCCCCTCCAGCACCCCGGCCTCGACCGCCGGGATGAACTGCCTGGGCACCGCCCCGCCGACGATGCGGTCGTGGAAGGCGAAGCCGGCGCCGCGCGGCTGCGGCGCGATGGCGACCTTGATGTCGGCGAACTGTCCGTGGCCGCCGGTCTGGCGCTTGTGGCGGGCGTGATGCTCGCCGCCCTTGCGGATCGTCTCCTTGTAGGCGGGCTGCGGCAGCTGGGAGTCGACCTCGACGTGAAAGCGGCCGGCCAGCTTGTCGAGCGCGATGCGCAGATGCACCTCGCCCTGGCCCCACAGCTTGGTTTCGCCGGTGTCGGGATCGGTCTCCTGCGACAGGGCGCGATCCTCCTCCAGCAGCTTGGCCAGGGCCGCGCTCATCTTCACCTCGTCGCTGCGGTTGCGCGGCTGGATCGCCAGGGCATAGACCGGCGGCAGCGGCACGGCCCAGTCGGCGGCGGCGACGCTGTCGGGGCAGACCAGGTCGCCGGTGCTCAAGCCCTCCAGCTTGCCCAGGCCGATCAGGTCGCCGGCGCTGGCCTCGCTCACCTTCTCGAGCTGGCCGCCCTGCACGCGGAACAGCGCGGCCAGACGCTGCCCGGCCAGGCGGTCGCCCTCCTTCAGGCTGCCGCGGAACAGGCGGGCCACCGAGACCTTGCCCGCATGGGCCAGGTTGAGGGTGCGCGCCACGGCGGCGCAGACCGCGTCGCCCGCCGCCGTCTGCTTCGGCGCCACGCCCAGACGCCCGGCCGCCACCTCGGGGCCCGGCGCCTCGTGGCGCAGCGCCTTGAAGAGGCGGTGGATGCCGTTGTCCTGCTCAGCCGCGCCGAGGAAGACCGGCACGATGCGGTCGGCGGCGAGGTTGGTCGAAAGGTGGCGGTAGACCTCCTCGTCGGCCGGCACCCTGTCCTCCAGCAGCTCCTCCAGCAGGCCGTCGTCGAAGTCGGCCAGGGTCTCCAGAAGCTGCTGGCGCGCCGCGCTCTCGCGCTCGCGCAGCTCGCCCGGGATCTCGACCAGGTTGGAGGGGCCGTGCGGGTTGTAGTGCCAGGCCCGCTCGCTGACCAGATCGACGGCGCCGGCCACCGCGCCGTTCTCGCGCATCGGGACCTGGCGCAGCACCAGGGGCCGGGCGGAGGCGGCCTGGAAGGCGGCGAGCAGGTCGCGCACGCGCTCGCCGCCGCTCTCGCTGAGCCGGTCCATCTTGTTGACGAACAGCATGTGCGGGACCTGGCGGTCGTCGAGGAACTTGAGCAGCGGCGCCAGCGCCGGCGCCTTGGCCGCCTCCGGCTCGGCCACCACCACCGCCACGTCGGCGGCGATCAGCGCGTCCTGGGCGTCCTGCGCCAGCTCGACGGAGCCGGGACAGTCCAGAAAGGACCAGGGCTCGCCCAGGTAGGTGGCGTGGGCGGCGTTGGGCTCGACGCTCATGCTCCGTGCCTTGGCCTCGGCCGAGCTGTCGCCGACGCCCCCCTTGCGCTCTGTCGCCCCGGCGGCGAAGAGCAGGGCCTCGAGCAGGCTGGTCTTGCCACTGCCGTAGGGCCCGACAAGCACGGCGCAGCGCGCCGCGCCGTTCTGCGGCTTCGTCATGACGGTTCCTCCCCGCGTTGCGGCCCGCTCCCGGCGCTTGCCGTCGGGTTGGCGGGTCGTTGGTCGGCCGCCCGGGGAGGTGGCCGGGACATCGCGCCCTGTCCGCTGCAGCCCGGCCATTTCACCGTACCCGGGCTGGTCGGCGAAAATGGTCTCAGGCCGGGCGGCGCTTGGCAATCGCCTTTCGCCCCGCGTGCGGGGGCAAGCCGCGGGCGGGGCGACAGGTCGCGCGGGGCTCGCCCGCCGGTGGCCGCCGGGAGCCCGCCGATTGGCCACGATTGCGCTATCTTTCTGAATTCGGGCGCATTCTCACAGACCGCACGACCGCGCGGCGCTTTCCCGACAGCGTTGCGCACTGCTACGGTTCGAGACCATGACCCACCCCAGCTCCCCTGCCCCGCACAGCTTCGACGTGGTGATCGCCGGCGGCGGCGTGATCGGCTCCGCCGTCGCCTACTTCCTGCTGGCCGACCCGGACTTCACCGGACGGGTCTGCGTGGTCGAGCGCGACCCCAGCTACCAGAGCGGCGCGACGGCGCGCTCGGCCGGCTCGATCCGCCAGCAATTCTCGACGCCCGAGAACATCCGCATGTCGCAGTTCGGTCTGCGCTTCCTGCGCGAGATCGGCGAGCGGCTGGCGGTCGACGGCGAGCGTCCCGACGTGCAGCTCCACGAGCGCGGCTATCTCTTCCTGGCCAGCGAGGCCGGCCTGGAGACGCTGCGGGCGAACCACGCCGTGCAGCAGGCCGAGGGGGCGCCGGTGGCGCTGCTCGACCGCGCCGACCTGGCCGAGCGCTTCGCCTGGCTGAGCCTGGAAGGCCTGGCCGGCGGCGCCTTCGGCACGGCCGGAGAGGGCTGGTTCGACCCCTATGCACTGCTGCAGGCCTTCCGGCGCAAGGCCGTCGCGCTGGGCGCCACCTACCTGGCCGACGAGGTGATCGGCGTGGCCCGCCGGCACGGCCGGGTGATCGGCGTGGAGCTGGCCGAGGGCGGGCGTGTGAATTGCGGCTGGCTGGTCAACGCCGCCGGCATCCGCGCCCGCGACCTGGCTCTGATGGCGGGGATCGAGGCCCTGCCGGTGCATCCGCGCAAGCGCCAGGTCTTCGTCTTCGACTGCCGCGACGAGCTGCCCGGCTGTCCGCTGACCATCGACCCCAGCGGCCTCTACTTCCGGCCCGAAGGCAGCGGCTTCATCTGCGGCATCTCGCCCGGCGCGCAGGAGGCCGACCCGGACTGCGACGACCTGGAGGTGGACCACGGCCTGTTCGAGGCGCGGCTCTGGCCGTTGCTGGCGGCGCGGGTGCCGGCCTTCGAGGCGATCAAGCCGACCGGCGCCTGGGCCGGCCACTACGACGTCAACAGCTTCGACGCCAACGCCATCCTGGGGCCCCATCCGGAGCTGCCGAACTTCCTCTTCGCCAACGGCTTCTCCGGCCACGGCCTGCAGCAGAGCCCGGCGGTCGGGCGCGCCCTGGCCGAGCTGATCGTGGCGGGCCGCTACCTCAGCCTCGACCTCTCGCGCTTCGGCTACGAACGCCTCGCGGCCGGCCGCCCGATCCTGGAACGCAACGTGGTGTAGCCGGTCACGGCTCGGCCTGCGCGGTGTCCCGGTCCTCGAAGCGAACCGACTTCTCGCCTTCGTAGGCGAACACGCTGAGGATCTGGTCGACGCGCTGGCCGTCGCCGGCCAGGGGCATGTGCAGGCACTCGATGCGCGCGAAATCGAAGGCGATGGGCGTGCGCGGCTGGCGCAGGGCATAGAGGCCCAGGCCGGTCTCGCAGACCGCGATGCGGTCGGCGATGGGAAAGCGCATGCTGGGGATCTGCTTCAGGAAGTCGTCGAGATAGCGCCCGGCCAGGTTCGTCTTGATGGCGTCGCGCATCGACTGGCCCTGCACCTTGACCAGGAAGCGCCAGGGATCGCGCTCGGCCGCCACCAGGATCAGGTGCGGCAGCAGCCGGGGCACCTCCACCGGGTCGAAGGCATCGCGGCCGGGCAAGCCCCCCTCGGGATGGATCGCCAGCATGGCGGCGGCGAAGTCGCGCACCACCCAGGTGACGGCCTGGCGGCGGACCTCCTGCAACAGGGCGCGGTTGGCGGCGGCCCCTTCGGTCGGGGGCAGCGGCTTGGCGACGGAAAGGGGCGTGGTCTCGGTCACTGAAAGGCTTCCAGGGCGTCATCCAGGCGTTTCTGGTCGATCACGGCGATCACCAGGGCGATCATGTCGACGGTCTTGCCGTCGGCGGCGAGCGGCAGGATCAGGCGCGTGTAGCGCAGCGTCTCGCGGCCCGGCTCTACCGGATAGACGCGCTCGGAGAGATGCGGCAGCCCGTCGCGCGCGATCTCCTCGTAGAGGGCCTGGGCCTGGGCCAGGTAGTCGCCCGCGTAGAGCTGCTCGAAGCGCTTGCCGGTCGGGTCGCGCCGGGCCCGCGCCGCGATCTCCGTGCCCGCCAGCCGGTAGCGGAAGGCCAGAGCCGCCGGCGGCCGCTGCGGCGCGGCGTGACGCGCGGCCGGTCCGGACCGCGGCGCGCCCCCGCCCTCCGGGTCGTCGGACGCGCGCAGCACGTCGATCAGCGCGATGCGCGGCAGCAGGCTGGGAAAGTCGAGCGGATCGAGGTCGCGGCGCGCCGGCAGCCCCCGGGTCCGGCGCCGGGCCAGCCAATAGTCGAAGAAGGCCGCCTGTTCGGGGTGGGCGATCCGGCTGCGGATACTCGCGATGGCGGCCGTCAAGGCAGTCTCCGGCGCGGCCGGCATACCCCTCTCCTTCGGGAATGCAAGGCAGGACCTACGCCAATAGACGGCTTTGCTTAACATACCATTGAAGGAAGCGCCGCCGCCGGCCAAAGCAGCCAGTCCGGGCGGCCCTCGCACGGCCCTGTGCGGGCGCCCGTTCTCAGGCAGTCCGTTCTCAGGGACGCCTCAGCGCCGGGCGTCGTCGCCTTCCCCCGCAGCGCCGTCGCCGGCATCCGCGCCCTGTTGCGCCGCGGCGGCTTCGGCCGCTTCGTGGTGGCGCAGCATGTAGGGCACCTGGCTCATCACGAAGATGAAGGTGATGCCCATCTGGCCGGCCGTGTCGAAGGTCACCCAGAAGTCGGTCGACTGGGTGCGCCAGACCAGCTCGTTTGCCGCGGCCATGACCAGGAAGAACAGGCTGAAGCGCAGGGTCATCACCCGCCAGGCGGCATCGGGCATGACGAAGGCCTGGTTCAGCATCAGCTTGAGCAGCGGCCGGCCCATGCGCAGCGAGACGTAGAGCGCGACGGCGAAGATCACCTGCACCACGGTCGGCTTGATCTTGATCCAGAGGTCGTCCTCGAAGACCAGCGTGAGGCCGCCGAAGACGCCCAGGATCGCGGCGGCGAACAGCGGCAGCCAGGGAATGCTGCGCGCCAGCCCCCAGGAGACCAGCAGCGCCACCAGGGTGGCCGCCATCAGCGCCGCGGTGGCGGTCAGGATATCGGCGGTGAAGTAGGCGACGAGGAAGACCAGCAGCGGCCCGTAGTCCGAGGCCGGCTTCACCCAGGCCGGCCCGCGGCCGCCGCCGCCCGGCGCGCGCCCCGGCCCGCCG